CTTTATTTCTAAGACAGAGGGGGGGAAACGTGTGACTAATGTCTAAATCAGTTTTTCTCTCGACATTTGTATGGCCATGTTCTGATGAGGTCACAGGGGTTCGTCTTGCCAGCGCAGACCTTTTTTCATGCTCATAAGTTCTGTCTAGATCAGTCTCCATCACTTAAGGCTTTCAATGCTTGTCAGAAATAATATCAGCGGAGGTTTGAGATTCTCTTAATTAGAGTATTGTACATTGGAGGTGGAAGACTGTCAGACTCATTGCTCAATGAGATATTCATGCACGGGGCTATTTATGCCTGATGAATACATCAAATTGGACAAAGAGATAAAAGCGGTATTCAGAGCTAATCACTGAAACCAAGCATGCACTAACAAACTTTCACTAATTCTTTATTTAACCAGGACAATTTGTTGGAAAGAAAGTTCAGTAATGCCAGGAATAAATGCACATTTAAGATTTATGAAATGCACAAAAATAGATTTGATTGGATGAAAACCACAAGTAAACTTTATCATAAGTATCACAAAAAAACTGCTTTGCAAAAAAGGACGTCACATTTTGTGCTGAGATGCATTCCAGGTTATTTTTTTCATAAAGAAGTATTTGGTAAAGGCTATTTTCCTGCTCTGAAATTAAACTGATTTGAATGTGCGATAAGCATTCCTGAATCCCCTTATCTCTTCAAAGGCGATCATATCAGCCAACCTTTCTACTTCAAGATGGGTCAGTGTACCGTCGCTGTGGTATTAAAGACATTTGATGTGGTCAGTGAAACATCACATTTTACCACCACGTATTTGACAAGTAAACAAACTTGCTGGTGTGTTTATCAATACAAAAAAATTATATATATATATATATATATATATATATATATACATATTTCTAAATAAAGGACTTAACTTGATCTGCTTTTGACAGAATAGCTAAATGAAAGGCTCTGCTGTACTTTGTTCGTGAATCCGAGTTGGTGCAGGGATGAGAGTTTATTGCATGCTTTGCAGAGAGCATTTTTGCTGTATTGTTTCTGGGAAGGCTGCATGGTGGAACAGTTTGCAGCAGTGTTGTCTCAAGAAAATTGCAGTTTTGAATCTTGGCTGCAGCCTTTCCTTGTGGAATTAACATTTTCTCTTCATGCATGCATGCACCTCCCTAAATGTTGTGCAGCGGGAGCGTCGGTTCTCTCTGTGGCAGTCTTGCTAGTTTGGGGGAAATTCTGCTTCTTCCCCTTGGGTTGCTTGCTCTGCACTGACCACATTGCTGGATTGGAAGCTGGAAGTCATTTATAACTGTGGCAGTGTGCGCACGGCTGCGGGGGAGAGGGAGACGAGTGACGCAGTAGACGCGGTGGATGTGGATGTACAAGCGGTAGTACTGGAGCAAGAAGACGTGGCTGCTGCAAAGGACTTATCAGACTCGTACTACGCATATTCACAGGACTTGGACAGAGCCCTCGATTCCCTGAGAGAGATGCTGACTGCGGGAAGCAGAAGGGCAGCAGAAACAAAAAATTATACATGCAGACGATTGAAAGCTGATGTGTGTTGTTTTCTGTGTGTGACCCCTGAAATAGCTCAGTGCTATATTGTCTCTCTCACCTCTGCAGCCGTGCACGCACTACCACAGAGACACATTGCCTTTTTGATGTGTGTGGGCTACCGTAGCTGCAAACCCTACTCTGAACTGAGTGACGCTAGGGAGTCAAATGTTTTCACACACTGGGACTTTAATTGTCTCTACGTGAGATTGAGCAACTGGTTTTGTGTCCCTGTATTGGACAAGAGACCTGTCCATGATGTCCTCTGACTCTTATCCAGTTACAGTACTTTCCATGATCCTAATGAAGAAAGATAATGGATGGCTGGATGTTTTTTGGGAAAAGTTTACTCAAAATGTTATTTGACAACAAACATGACATACTCACTGCTACTGATGTCTAATGAGCTTTGAAAGAAAAGCGTCTGGACTTCTTTGAGTTGCTTGAAGACGTTTCACCTCTCATCCGAGAGGCTTCTTCAGTTCTAAGGTCAAATGGTGGAGAGTCCCAGATTTAAACCCAGTGGGAGTTTCCCCCCGAGGAGGGGCCCATTAGACTACAATAACCTGGATGACTGAGAACCTTCACAGACACACTGCTACTGATGTCAGTCAACTGGGCAGTTCACCACACACCAACGAAGAAGACGCAAATACATTCTTTTTCTAAATAAAGGACTTCACTTGATCTGCTTTTGACTAAAAAATAAGCCCAAGTCTAAATGGTCCAAAGTTGATGCTGAAGCTGTTTCAAACGAGCCGCCGCCATCTTTGATCTTCTGTTCTCTCGCATCATCCTGCTCACCAACCCAACAGAACACTGTGATTGGCATGACCCAAAACTGCTCAGGCTAATGGTAGAGCATCTCAGGCTCCTATGGCTAGATTGACCTGCAGAGTAAAATATGTTTGCTACTGCTACTGTCTGTCTAGATGTCTAGGCTGTGATATTCTAACATCTCAGCTCTAATTGGCTAATAGTAACACAACTCTGCCACTGACCCTGTTTTGCAACGTTGATGATTTATCTCCAGAAACGACAATAGGTCTGGGGGAGTTCTGCCATTTTGTGGAGTTGCTAATGCTGGTTCTGTTGGCGGCTAATGCAAAAAATAGGGGTATAAGACTATTTTCCCATTTATGTTTATGTTTATTTACTTAGCAGACGCTTTTATCCACAGCGATTTACAATTTATAATCTATAGGGCATGTTGTGATCTGTGGGGGAAACCGGAGTACCCGGAGGAAACCCACGCATGCATGGGGAGAACACGCAACTCCACGCAGAAAGGCTGCAGCTGAGTTTCGAACCTGCAACCTTTGTGCTGCAAGGCAACAGTGCTAACCACTGCACCACCATGCAGCCCAGTTTTAGCCTGTATGAGACTGATCATATTTCAAAAAGAACAAGTGATAAATGGTTTCTCCGTGAACTTGGCCTTTAACACCAAAAACAGACAAAAAATAATAAAAATTAAATAAGAAATCAAGACCAAAGTCTCACATAATGGACATTTTTTGTTCTTCTGTCCAAGTAATCCCACATATACTAGTATCCCTTCCAGTTAAATACAAGCCATATTTTCTGCAGAACTAGCCTTTTAATCAGCTGTTCAATGGAATCCACAGACTGTGTGAAATAATAAAGACACTGTCCAGAATTTCCCAACTCATGGCTTCACTTAATTACCTGCAGAACTAGTTAGTTGGTTGTTTATCACAAAATCTGAGCTTAAACATGCTGAGCTGTTTTGGGAGTGCACATGAATGAAAAACAGAAATGAAAACAAAAACGTTTTCTCACATTAACCTCATTTGCCCGGTAGTTCCTGTTTCTTTTTTACAAACATCCCAGTGCCAAAACAAGCATAATGTCTGATGCAGCCAAGGTTACACAGCATATTGATTTCAATTTAAATGTTATCACAATTAAACTGTTGACTGCAGCTAATATTACTCTCCAAAAAAGATAGAAAAATGCATATGAACATCAGAAGTCGAAGGAGAAAAAAAAACTGTCTCCGGTTATCCATAAAACATCCTCCTCTCTCACATGAGATAAAATTGTTGTATGGCATCAACATTAGTGGGAAAAAGAAGCCATTTAAATTTAAAATGAAAATACATGTTCAAGGAATATGTGGCAATAAATTGGGACATATGTAAATACCATTGACACATATACTTGACAAATAATTTCCATAGGCTCAAATTATAAGTTTTTGTTTCCAAATGGGAGGTTCCTACCACCACCATTTTGACCGTGTCACACGTCTCGTTACGCCCAGACAATCTAAAGATAGGAAAAGAGGAGGAGCTGAGGGTGGGGCTGTTACTGTTGGAACAAATTAACCAGTGTAGCTACTAACTAACTCAACTAACCCAAGAAGCTAAGAAGGGGCTCCAGGGATCGGGGTAGCCCACTTTCACGGTCGCATGGCTTCTGTGCGAGGCTGTAGTCACCCTGGTTGCCTGTGGAGATCTAAGGACTGGGACTGATAAATTTCAAGCAGAGCCTCACACCACTGTGATCGTAGCCAGGTGCCGTGGCCTTTTACACGAGCGCATGGTTGGAGATCAGCAGGACACATGCTAACTAGAGGCTGACCTATATGGTTTTGTTAAGGCTGATGCCGATACAGATTTAGAAAGACTTTGGTTGCCAATGTTTGATTTCTAAAGCCGATTAGTAGGGCCGATATTTATACGTTTTAGCAGCATTGATGATTGTGAAAGACAAACACTCACTGTGTGCAATGTTTGTCGACACAGAGCCAGGAGCCGAATGACCAAGCGGTGTTATGGTAAATGCATAGAATTTTCCCCATTCAACCAACGGCTGTTCCCGGGCGGGAGACGGGAGAAGTCAGGCACCTGCTCAAGTTCCTTTTGCAGCCCCACTAACATGTTTGGTTTGACCATGCATTTAAATGACACAGATTTCCCATTCAACCAGCAAAATAAAGTACAGAAATATAATTTTGGCTTCATATATATATATATATATATATATATATGTGTGTGTGTGTGTGTGTGTGTGTGTGTGTGTGTGTGTGTGTGTGTGTGTAGATAGATAGATAGATAGATAGATAGATAGATAGATAGATAGATAGATAGATAGATAGATAGATAGATAGATAGATAGATATAGATGATAGATAGAATTAGTGTAAATTTCGCTTGTAATATTATGTAAAATGCTATTAAAATTAATAATGAAGTGAAAACAAATTGCAAAAGTTACGGATCATAAAAATACAAAAAGCCACTTATAGGTGGCTTGTTTTTTCCTGATTATAAAAGAGATCATAGGGATGAAAGGGAAATTGCTTTTAAATAAATTAAACTGAAGATGTTTAAATCTATAATTATCTCCTAACAAGTCAATCTAGCGCGAGTTTTTAATGTCAAACATCTATCTTCAACTAAAAAATAAAGTCCTAGAGTTGAGCTGATCCGACACTTTGCGCATGCGCATTAGCTATATTTTTTAGCCTGTTAAGCTACAAACCAGCTAGACAGATGTAAGCTAGCAGAGATAAATTAGACAAAGAAACCTGTGAAGAGACTGAATGAAAAATACTTTAAAGTCGCCGACGGCTAAAGCAGCAAGCGAAATACGAAGCTATATGCGTCATTCAGTATATATCAGTGTGTGGAAATGAAAGGTACGCTATCGCCACGTGTTTTTAAACTTTTTGTAAGCAGCCAGTGCAGAGATTAGCTCTGGCTAGTTGCTAGTTAGCTGATGTTGTTTTTTTCCTCCAGCAGATTGATCCAAAGCGCAACGGTTTGCGTTAGCTTGCTTAGTTAGCATTCTGTCTCAAGGATCAGTTAAGGGCCTTTGTTTTACACCGGCTACAGCGAAGTAAAAACGTCTCGTTACTGATTTCACTTGCTTTATCCGAAGCATGTTTTTCTCACAAACGAGGCTGACAATCCTGTGTTGGACTGGCTAATTGTATGAGGACGGATTTATTAGCACCGTCCTGTTTAAAATAGCTTATTCGCAGTATGAGGGGTGTAGATGCTAGTGATGTCAACGTTAATCTTGCTAGTGGTAACATTAGCTTGGGTTACTCTAATGTATTCAACAATAAACATGGGTCGGCTAAATGTAGCGACTGTCTTTCTTGAATGATTAAAATGTAAACGTGCGTAATTGTTGAATTACTAGAAATCATAACAATCTATGTTGGAAGATTACTGGTCACTCTTTGGCACACGACGTTTAGCTAACTCGTCAATATTCGTGATCGCATCCGTTTAAATTTGGAATATGTGATTAAAATGAACTATTTACTTGAGTTAACCGTAAATACTAAAGTTAAATGTTGAGCTTCATCTCAGTAGGTCATTAGATTCTTACGATTAGCATCCTATAGGCGTTGTTGCTCAACTCTTAACTATTAGTCAAAAGTTGCAGGTGAATTTCACGTTAGATATTATGACAGATTGGCTATTGGGTGAGATTAATTTACACAATTAAAATAATAAATAAAATCTTTTAACCACAATGTCCTCAAAGCATACTAGATCATAACATCACCTCCATGAATGTCCGTTTTGGTTGGATTTGACCTTATTCAGGTTATTTTTCACCATATTCAAATCCTAATGTGTTTCTTTTCCTTTTTTGCTTTTAGAGTGAATCGTGATGATGGAACCATGAAGAATTCTGTGACTACTTAAAGAGAAAAACTTTCCTTTTAAATATTTCAACAATTTAAAGAGGTGATGAGGTTTTACATTCATCGCTGATCCTGCGTGATTCAGATTTTGTATTTAAGGTTTTGGAATAACAGGTAGCATGACTTATGACAAGAAAATAAATAACATGTTAGCTTGCAAGTCACTGCAAGTTTTTACATGTAAACTCCTTTTGAAATCTGCTTATTGACGCTTGTGAGTGTTGTTAGAAACTTGAGCAGAGCATCAAGATGTGCTCACCTGTTTGGTCATGACTACAGATTATCCTAGAGTTTAAATATTAAAACTCAGAAAAATGTCAGGATTTCACTAAATTTGTTGTCCAGAGGTTACTTGGACCAAACACAATCCCGGTTAATGATGCATGTGAAGAGTTAGGTTTTAGTAGACATTCAGGTGGATTCACAACAATAAGTCTTTTTAAGACTACTGACTAGAACACGCTATCCTTTCTGTGCCTTTGAATTGTTTTACTACTAGAGCATGTGGTGGTTTTTGCACCAAGGAGCATTTATTAGATATAGCTTATGTAATATTTTTGATAACTGTAGCAACCGTTTTCTCTTTATTCTCATTTAAGGGTTAGTTTGTTGTTGTTTGTGAGCTGAGAGGTTTGTCTTCCCTGCTGTCTTTCACCTTTCTAGTTTCGGTTTACTGTTTGAAGTAAGTAAAGTTAAAAGCAGATGAGTTTGTTTGATTGGGAAGTACATTTTGGTTATGATCATTTATTTGAAAGGTAGATCCAGATTGATGTTTTCTGTCATTTTCAACATTGAGTAAATGTTTGCTAGTTGGTTAAATAATCACCTCGCAGGCAAAAATAGTGCAAATCTGACATTTTTTCTACCCTATGTGAGAAATACCACAATCTCTAAGCCTGAAAAACACCATTTTAATATTTAGTATTGTATTGATTCTGACCCCAATCACTTTCATATGTTTCTAATTCAGATGCACATTTTTAAAGTGACCTCGGTCTGAGTGCTTGGCAGACTTCACAAATTTATTCTGGAGGAAGTAAACACGCTTCCTTTCTTTGCTTAGTCATAATCTTGTGTCCATTCCAATTACACAATTATTTCACAACTGATGCACTCATGCTAACATGTAGCATCCACATTTACTTGTAAAGTGCTTCATGTGATGCCACACTGAGGCTGCCTTATCTGATTCAGGACTACGTATGAAAATGACCTGGGTGGGTTTTGCTGTTTTGTGGTTAATTTTGACAAGTGAACGAGGTTTTCTACGTGTTCTGGCTCTGTTCCATTTGTACAGAACTTGACTATTCTGTCTGAGCTAATGTACGAGTGATGGGATTGTCTGAATTTTAAAGAGGTTGGACACATTTACTCACTGTGTTTTACAAAGAGTTCTGGAACGTCGCCAAATCTACCAGTAAAGCCACTAATTGACATGAACTGAAGCATGGCCTTACTGCTACGAGAGACGAGAGCGTATGATTTCAAATGAAGGAAGAAAAGAACCCCTAATTTAAAACACAAATTCACTCACAGAAACGGTGTCGCGAGGAAAGTTTGGTGTTGATTTGTGATTGGCAGGTTGCACTTAGCATAAAGAGGAATACTATGCAGATTTGTACAAAATTAACATTGTTTTCTTTTAACTGTTCAGTGCTTTCAGGACGTCTGTGAGTGGTAACGTAAAGCCAGTAATGTCACGGGTTCCCACCCCTCCTCCTCCTGGGGAGATGTCCAGTGGACCTGTGGCAGAGAGCTGGTGTTACACACAGGTATGGACACAAACTCACACACTTAAACTGGTGGAATTAGGCGTGTGTTCAAGACGCAAGAGGAGTTTTTGGGCTGTAGTTTTCCTTTTAACAAACAACAGTTTTAACTCGGGCAGAAATCCTCCTGGGGGGTAAACTTGTCATTTCTACTCGTGACTCGGACCGTTGTAGACTTCAGCACAGATCATCAGAGATGTTTTTGTAAAAGCTGTGAATTATGAAAATCACCACAGAATCATGTCTTTGTCTTTTGTATTCAAGGTCAAAGTTGTGAAGTTTTCCTACATGTGGACCATAAATAATTTTAGTTTTTGCCGGGAAGAAATGGGAGAGGTGTTGAAGAGCTCGACCTTCTCTTCTGGCCCTAATGACAAAATGAAATGGTCAGTGCTCAAATGAGGAAGTTTGAAAATTTACAAACGTGTATTGAAGCATTTTTTTCTAATGTTTAGTTGATATCTAGTTAAAGGAAATAAATTTATTAATACTAACAAACAGTAATGTCATTAAAGTCATAGTTAACATAACTATGAGATCCCATTAAGGTGACTTAACTAGTTAAATCCCATAAAACTGAAGCTGATGTGATCTGTTTGCCTGCCAGGTGTCTGCGAGTCAATCCAAAGGGACTTGATGATGAAAGCAAAGATTATCTGTCGTTGTATTTACTTCTTGTTAGCTGTCCAAAAAGTGAAGTCAGAGCAAAATTTAAATTTTCTTTGCTGAATGCTAAAAGAGAAGAGACAAAAGCAATGGGTGAGTAAATCGGTTATCAGTGAACTTTGTTCTTTCTGTTTATAAAATCTTTGTTTTAAGACTTTAGGTCTTTTTCTTTTCCTCTCCTGGTTACAGAAAGCCAAAGAGCGTATAGGTTTGTCCAAGGCAAAGACTGGGGCTTCAAAAAATTCATAAGGAGAGATTTCCTCCTTGATGAAGCAAATGGGCTCTTACCAGATGACAAGCTCACCCTGTTTTGTGAGGTAAATCAGGCTCTGCTTATGATTACTAGAAGTTGTGATTTTCTTTCTTTACGTTTCCTTAAATTCCACCTAGATAAACCCATTTTTTTTCCTTCTAATAAATGTTCTGTATTTTTATTTATTAATAAATCACCTGTCGAGACAGAAGTCACAACGCGCTGTACATAAAAACATACACAATAGGACGGCGTGAGAGAGGAAACAGTCAGTTAAAGCTGCTGTAGCAAATCTACAGAACTAGCTAGGTTTTGAAAGTAAACACGGTCACGGAACACTCACTCGTCCCCTCGGGTGTCTTCTGAGATTCTTCTGCCAGAACCGGAAGCCCGTGTTATCAGAGGAAACAAGATGGTGCTGAACACCAGTCGCCGTCCAAACATCTTTTGTTGTCTGTGACTTCAAATGGTGTTTTTCTTTTTCGGACTAGTAGTTGGTCTTAAAAGTTTTGGTGGTACCAGCTGGCTGTTTCTCCTTTTCTGATATTATTGAGCCACAAACCTCTCACACCAGTGGCGTTCTGTTGCTAAATACACACGTGTGTCATGAGTGGAGGACCCAGGGAAGTGCGGCGGTTCTGTGAGACCAGCAACCAGATGGTCCAGGGGCTTGAATTGTTTAAGGCTCCAAGTCAAAAACAAGATTTTATAGCTTACTATGACTACGTTTACATGCAGCCAATATCTGGGTTATGATCGGGTTAAGGTCGGTATTCGGGTTTCTGAGTTGATCAGAATAACCCGTTTACAAGCATAAATAGAAAGAGTTACCTCTAACTTGCATAACCCGATTTAAATGCGGACGTTGGGGTAGCGTCAGGACGTGTGGACTACGTCCAGACGCAATATGCGTCATTTCCGGTTCTTCTTGTTCCGGTATCCGTGAAAACAACAACATGTTTCCCAGTTCGGAAGAGATAGCGACCGCGTTTGTTTGCGCTTTAGTTTCCTCATCACTCCAAAAGTGTGGTGCTGTGCCGCGACTCGCCATGTTGCTCCCAACTTGTTGTTTACTTCCGGTGTTCTGGCGCATACAAGACGTCTCGCTACTCAAAAGACCAAGATTCCTTGCGAACAGAGCATGCGCAGAACACACGCTTTGATGGGGATATCCCGGTATGCGTTTACACGACCAAACATTCGGGTTAGAAAAGGGTTACCCCAGGTGTAGTAACCGGGTTTTTAAAAACCCGGTTCTGAGCATATCCGGGTTTTTGGCGGTGTTTACATGGACCTGCGGAACCGGGTTATTGTGAATATTTGGGTTTTAAAAGGGTTACTGGCTGCATGTAAACGCACTCAATGAATGGGATGCCAATGAAGCTGAATTAATAGGCGCGATGAACTGAGAACTAGGGTGATCGTGTAAGAAGTCTCGCGGCAGCAGTTTGAACAACCCGAAGACGATCCAGAGAGGCAGATTCAGACAGAAAAAGGTGTGATGTACACTTTTCCAATGACGCAGTTTAGCAATGGTCCAAGTGTGAGTGAAAGACTGAACATGGCCGTCCTTAATAAAAACCAGTAGATGAGCTTTCTGATTGGCTATGCATCACATTCAACAAGCCAATTTAGCATTGGTACAGTCCCAGCTTGCTTCTGAATGGACTAGAGCAGTCTTGACACACCACACATTGTAGGATTATATGATAAGGCGATCTTTAGAGCCGTTCCAGTGGTCGGGTGAGTCCTTAAGATTGTCACAAGTGTAGGAGTGGGTCAAAAATCTGCACGATTGCTCTGCTGTGTGAATTGGGCCTTATTTGTGTCACAAGATTAGAATAAAAGTCTTTAAAGTGTTTAAATGCTTTTTGTATTAAAGTTATTTACCACCTGCAGCAATAACCTTTTTATTTAAGACTTTTAATTCATGTCATGACCAGTGAGCAGCTGACATTTTACTTTTAGCAAGTCAAATGTTTTCCCTGATCTTGCATTTAAATGCAGCTTGTTTTTAAAATAATTGAATTCTGAATGTCAATAAGAATGAACAAGTCTGAGAAAACATTGTTTTTATTTTCAGGGACAGGTTTAATGAGGTGTCGGTGTGTTTGGATGTCAATGCAAATGCCTGAATCTGGCCGGCACTTTCTGAGAAATTAGCGTTTCAGAGACGATGTCACTTCAATAAACAAACTGCATTCAAATAAAAGAATTTCCCTTTCTCGTCGATTACGTCAGCGAAATCACCTCATTTAGTTATTTTAGACAAATTCCCTTCATTGCATTAATTTCCTCTTAAACTAAATTTTTATTGGACTACTTAGCTTTTTTATAGGGTTTTTACATTTCCTTGTTTAACTGTATTTAACTTGCTTCTAATAGTTTTCTGTGTGATGTATGAACAGGTAAGTGTTGTCCAAGACTCCGTTAACATTTCGGGCCAGTCCAACATGAACATGCTGAAGGTACCGGAGTGCCAGCTGTCTGATGACCTGGGGAATCTGTGGGAGTGTTCACGCTTCACAGACTGCAGCCTCTACGTGGGAGGGCAGGAGTTTAAAGCCCACAAATCCATCCTTGCGGGTAAGACATTACCCACTCCCTAACCCCCACAACCGTGGCAAGTAGACACCAGGAGCGGAGAGTCAGAAGCAGCAATAGAAAGACATCTACGCTGCTTTTTAATGACCTCTCGCGGAGACCCAGAAGTGCTTTGAAAGGCTAAGGAGAGCCTTTGTGCCTGGTTTGATTTGTTGCGGCCTGGTTTTGCAGCGGTTTCTAATCCACACCTCTAGTCCAGCTTGGCCCTGCTTGACCCAGATGACAGTAGGATTCAGGAGCTTGAGAGAGACTGACTCTCTTCTCTCATCTCAGTTAGACATGGTGGCTGCTGCAGTGCCCTAGGAGAACGTGCTTCCAATGTGACAGCTGTGTAAATTGTGCAGCACTAACAGTCCTAAGACACCCTGGTATATATCATTAACTACTAAATCTATTTGAAAGGATAGAAGAGAAGTAAAACATTAAAAGGAGTGCAAAAAAATGTGGGTTTGTTGTGCTAATTGTTGGAGGCGTAGCAAGTGTTGTTTAGTGTTGACTGGTTTTCCAACACCGAGGAACACGGGTGCAGATGTAAACTGCCTTCATGCCTAAAGGCGGCTCTGCTAAAAGTGGATTTCCAACCATGCTTCTCATAAGAACTCCCTCGTTCAGAATGCTGCTGCTAGAGTCTTAACAAGAACTAAGAGAACGGAGTTCGTCACTCCTGTTCTTAGATCCCTACACTGGTTACCACTAAACTACAGAATAGATTTCAAAGTGCTCCTACTGGTTTATAAATCACTCAATGGCATGGGACCAAAGTACATGTCTGATCTCATCCCTGTATATACACCCAGTAGGGCTCTGAGATCCCTTGGAAACAATCAGCTGGTGGAACCACGGGTCAGAACAAAACGTGGTGGAGATGCTTTTAGTTACTATGCTGCTTAACCTCAGATCTGCCCCAACCCTAATGTACTCATCAGCCTTTAGATGAATTGTTTCTTATGCTGCGTTATCTCCACTGTAATCTGCACCGTAACTTTGTCTTATCCTTTAGCTCTAAACTAACTAAAACTTTATTTATATAGCGCCTTCACATGGACCAAGGACCAAACAAAGTGCTGCACAGCAGAAATGAGCATTAAAAAAAATAATTAAATAAAATCAAAAATCAAAACATATAAAACTATTTAAAACCAGCAAAAACATGCAGATAAAATCCAGGTGGGGCAGCAAAAAGTGCCAACATAAGGATGGATCAGGTCCACCAGATAGCGTGGAGCCAACTCATGTAAACATTTAAAAACAAACACCAGAACTTTAAACAAAATTCTAAAAGAGACTGGAAGCCAGTGTCGGGATGCCAAGATGGGCGTGATGTGTTCAGATCTCCTGGTACCAGTCAGTAACCTGGCTGGTGCGTTTTGGACCTTCTGCAGTTTCGCTATGGAGGCCTGCTTGATGCCGGCATAAAGCGAGTTGCAGTAGTCCAGTCTGGTGGTAATGAAGGCGACAGTTTCCAGATGTTTGCGTGAAAGAAATGGCTTAATCCTAGCTATTCTCCCGAGATGGAAGTAGCAGGATCTGATTGACCTGGGTGTCCAGTGTGAGCTCCACATCCAACTTCACCCCCAGGGTGGTGACCACAGCCTTCTCAAAAGGCGCTAATGAAGGAGAGTCAATCCCTTGGGCACCTCCATGTTTGTATTTCGGGCAGAACAGGATAGTCTCAGTTTTATTCTGGTTGAAGAACAATACATATAAACAATAAACCGTATTAATGTGTATTTTAATTTGCGTTTTGTTGTTTTCATTTCATGTCCTGATAGTTGTAAAGCACATTGAATTGCCTCTGTGTTTGAAATGTGCTCTACAAATAAAGCTGCCTTGCCTTAGAAAGTCTGCTGACAAGCTAGTAGGCTCATTATGATAACTTTTTTAATGTGAGTTCATTATTTTGTTTCCTTTGACAGCGAGATCGCCAGTCTTTAATGCAATGTTTGAACATGAAATGGAAGAAAGTAAAAAGGTAAGAAAGTTCAGCTATATTCTTAATCTTGTCCTCCACACACAAAAGATTTCTGCTTTTCAGCGTGCTCAACAGTCATCGGTAAAAAAGTTGTCACGTTTGGGATGAACACGGGTCCACTTCCACATGTGAACATGCAACTTCCTGTCTTTTCTGCAGAATCGAGTTGACATTAGTGATGTGGATCCGGATGTTTTTAGGGAAATGATGGGATTCATTTATACAGGAAAAGCTCCAAACTTGGAGAAGATGGCAGATAATTTGTTAGCTGCTGCAGATAAAGTAAGTACCTATGGACTTTTTTTAAAAATGCAGAGCAGTCTTTGTCCTTTCTGTGAAATTGTATCCGCTAAAAATGTAACCGCATTGTTTGTTGGGTTCGTTAAACATCCCAAGATGTATAAAGAGCTCATGTGAAATTCTGTCTTTGCCATCCTGGGAACTTTTGAGCAAGATCTGGTCTGAGTCGACCATTATATTATATGAATAATACTATTTTGAACTTCTGCTGCTCCATCCATCCATTTTCCTCTGCTTATCCGAGATTGGGTCACAGGGGCAGCAGCCTTAAGCAGGGAGGTCCAGACTTTCCTCTGCCCAGCCACTTGGGCCAGCTCCTCCGAGGGAATCCAAAGGTGTTCCCTGGCAAGCCCAGAGACATATGCCACTTACGCACTAGCATCAACTCCAGTCCTCTCCGCCTACCCCAGCCTGGCCACATTCGTTCCACACTGCCTTAGGAATGCGGATATGGGCGGTCTGTGGCCTGTGATGTCATGAGCTCATCTTCAAGCACGTGGGCGGGGCAAAAGAGCGTGTAGAAGTCCGCGGTGTCTTCATTATTAAACAAAGCGGCCTGAGCAGTCTTGCTGTTGGAGATTCTCTGATCCTGCATCCTGCTTTAGTGTGTGTGTGTGTGTGTGTGTGTGTGTGTTTGTGTGTGAGAGAGAGAGTCAAGGGCCATCAACATAAACAAGATGATTAATCCTGAGAATAAGAAAATATCTTTATTTAAAACTCATCACAGCAGTGAGAGACCGAGAAAAATAGCTTCAGTCAGCTCGTTAACTGCCCAGCTTCCAGAATGATAACGAATCCTAAATGCGGGAAGCCCCCTCAGGTGCCAAAGGGAGGCTCCCTCCCTGATGGTACGTGTGATTTTGAGCCAGCCAATCAGTCGGCAGTGGGTTTGTCGGCCCTGTTTGGCTCCAGGCAGACCGCCTCAGGAAGAGGGCTGAAAAGACGTCCGGTTGTGGGCGGGACACTCCCAACTTGGTCCAGGCGGAGTAAATGGAGTAAGTGCCAGTAGTCCCTCCAGTGTGACCTACGTCTTCCTTTGAGTCTTCTCCTGGTTGGACGTGAACCCTAACCCAGAAAACCTCACCAGGGAGGCATCCTATCCAGACGTCTGAGCCACCGGCTCATCTCGATGTGGAGGAGCAGCGGGTCTACTCCGAGCCCCTCCCGGATGACCGAGCTTCTCACCCTACCTCTAAGGGCCACCCTGCAGAGAAAACTAATATTGGCCACTTGAGTCCGTGATCTCATTCTTTCGGTCGCTACCCAAATCTCGTGACCATAGGTGAGGGTTGGAATGTAAATTGACGATTAAATCAAGAGTTTTGCTATCCGGCTCAACTCATTTGTATCACTGCAGACGTAGCACCAATCCGCATATCTATCTCACGCCTATCTATCTTGGGCCCAAAAAGTATGTTACTTTTTACTAACGCATACTTTTTTTTCTGATTAATTATAATTAATGCAGTAAATTCCCACCCCTAAAATAAATATATATTTGTATATATATATATATATATAATTATTTTCAACATCCAAGGTAAAGTAGGTGATCCTGGAAAAGCAGTTTTAGCAAGCTGCATTAAAAAAAAACACAATTCAAAGGTCCAACATCTTTTCTTTAGGCTCCACCCCCTAAGCCACATCTGCAGCATACAGTAGTATGCTGGATGTTACAAATACTGTCAAACAACCATAAAAGCATAACATTATCTTACCTTTTTTATTATTGTTAGTGGCCCCTTTTCTGCTATAATTCCTAAAGTCAAGCACCTACATAACCGTCCTGGAGCCTCCAGATTTCTGACCGACTTCTCATAGTCCGGTCCTGGTCGGGAGTTCTCCTGACTCTGTTCCCACTTAAAGTGTAGGACAGAGAAGCTTTTTGGGTGTAGACTGGAGCTCCAGCAAGGATAGCTGGGATTTTTACAGAAACCCTTTTTCTATAGCTAGTCCGGCTCTGGCTTCTCTTCCTGTTCAGCTGCTCCAAGCTGAGAACGTGTTTCATGCACAGAGGGGCGTGTCCAGAGGAGAGGGAGACCGTGAAGGCAGTTTGATGGATGGATCAACATCCAATCATTAAGAATGGGACAATCACAATGATTGGATGGGACTTTTCCAGGATTGTACATTTCAGAAGTTGTTCTATTTATTCCTTTTTTATTTTTGACAAAAATATAATTTATTGGTTGCCATCAGTTTGTGAAGAGCATTGCAAGCAGTATGGGGGAAAAAATCCAGAAAAACATCTCCAACCAAAATTAAGTGCAAATGTCAAGTTGCAGGTATTCATTTTAAATGTTTTGTCATGCTGTAGAAAACAGCTGTTACTTGGTGTCAGACATTAAATGAAAACATTCTCTAAATTAAATGACATTTACAGGCTGTGTAAAGCCGGGTGTACACTGTGCGACTTTTTCACTTTTTTGAGCCGATTTTCCACTCGTGCGAGAATCCACGAGATCGGGGCGAGTTTTGCGCCGAGCGGTCGTGTAGTGTACAGGGGGTTACGAGAGGCGATTAACACCACGTGACCAGCTACCGATCAGCAATCGTGAGTTCGCACGGACTTCTGGCGTGTTTGATATTTTGCTCGTCCCTCGTGAGGGTATCGCACTGTTGAAGCGGCGCTGCGAGCAGCTGTGACCCAAAAAGTATCAGAACCGCTCACGGCGCATGCGCAATCCTGCATCAACGCCGCTCGCCCGCTGTTTCCCTAATAACACACGCTGTTCGTTTTTTGTTTCTACACGTTTTTTTTACTCACAAAGATTGTCAAGAAAGCGTGTTTGTCGTGTTCATGTCAAATTAAACTGATCACTAAACACAGATTTACTTTCTTTATTTCGTTTTCCTCATCCAACCCCATAAATCCCTGTGTGTTCTCCAGCAGCACTCCCGAAGGACAACAGGCAAAACAAGACAAAAAAGTCTGACGTGTTGTGTAAAAACTGCTATTTTTAGCATATTTTTTGGTCCGACGTGTTGCTACCAGACGTACAGTGTGAGCAGTCAGGTCGCATGCGAGAACTGGGTCGTGCAGTGTGAGCGCAGGACTCGTGAGATCTGCCCTGCGAGGAGGTCGTACAGTTTGAGCTGAAGCTGAGTGCTACGAGTGAAAAAGTCGCACAGTGTCCGCCCGGCTTAATAGAAACTAAAATTAAGAGAATGGATACAAATGGAGACGGTTTCCTTGGAGATATGCAAGATAAACTTTACAGCATCAGGTCTGTAATGGCATCACTTATACAGCAATTAGTTTTTACGTCTTCATGAACGGTAACATGTTATCGTTGTTAGGATCGTCAGATACGATGAATGGGTTAGAAATTATTTTCCAGACTGTTTAGAAAAGCTTAAACAGAATCTGAAATGAGAGCTTTACCTCACATTCAGGCTTTCATTGCCGCTTTCTGCATCCCCCCCCACCCCTTCCCCCCACCCCTCTCACCCCCATTTCCAGTATGCTCTGGAGCGTTTAAAGGTCATGTGTGAAGAGGCCTTGTGCAACAGCCTTTCAGTGGAGAATGTGGCCGACACCCTCATCCTGGCTGACTTGCACAGCGCCGAGCAGCTCAAAGCACAAGCCATAGATTTTATCAACAGGCAAGTATCGAAAGAAAAAAACCCTCCAGTGATAAATTCCTGCTGCCATTTCTGTTTACCAGCCCTGAATGCTTACCTTTTTATCTCCTTGCCATAGGTGCAGTGTCCTGAGACAGCTGGGCTGTAAAGATGGAAAGAACTGGAATAGCAAGTATGTAATTAGCTGATATGTGTGACACAAGATTAATAACACACTCTTATCTCTTCCCCAACCAGATGCATTAGAATTCATTGTTTTAGCTCAGGCAGACAGAGTGCTGTTTGCCTTTTCAGTTTGAAGCTTCGTATCTTTGTATCCAAGTTATTAATAGACTCATACCTGGATGAAACCTGGAAATGGAATATTTGTACAACTTTGAAAGAAAGGAGGTGGCCTCAGCGGCAAGATTTCCTACAGATGATGTAGTGCAGCGTTAGAGGAGACCTTGAGGTGTTGAAAATCAGCTTTATGCACACGCTGTGATGGGGTTAGTTTTAGTGGTTTACCCATGTGCATAAAAAGTACCGACGTTGGGAAGTTCACCGTGAAGTTTCCAAATCAAAGCCATTACAATCTCATTTATCTTTATTGATTTTTAATGTGCTGATTACCATGCCCTGGTGTTCACTTCATTCTGCCTGTGCTTACAGTCATGCCACAGACATAATGGAGACTGCAGGCTGGAAGTCAATGATCCAGTCCCATCCTCACTTGGTAGCCGAAGCCTTCCGCGCCCTGGCTTCCGCGCAGTGCCCACCCTTTGGTCTTCCAAGGAAGCGTCTAAAACAGTCCTGACTGCCTGACTTTGCCCCGGGACTAAACTGAAGGGTGTGAAGCGTGGGTTTACAAAGCGAGAACTGTTGAGGGTGCCACTCGTATTTCCACCAAAACTGAACACACTTGAATAAAGAAGAGCGAAGCTTTCTGGCCACCGACGTGGAGAGGCAGGCACACGGAAGGCTTACATCCATGGATCGGAAAACGGTTGAGTCAAGCAACGTGTTTTTTTGTTTGTTTTGTTGCTTGTTTTGCTGCCTCGGCTGAGTTCTGTTCTGCCCAGGCAGCAAGCCAAGCCAAGTCCTCTGCTACATTTTTTTTTCCCTGTAATTTTCAAAATGGCCTTAATATATCTGCCATTGCTCTGGATCTGCTCTAGAGCACTTCGTCTATTTTACTCTGTGCGTGCCTTGTCACAAAGACCAGGCCTCCTCCAGGTTGCACTAGTTCCCATGTATAGTCATTTTGATATTGAGTTCTATAGGAACGTAACAAAGATTTAACTAAATGGGAAATATTATATATTTGTAATGTTTAGCCCGTTTGGTGACTAGACATTAAATAGCATGAACACTCAGTGCAAGGTCAGTTCTTTACACTTTTTAAAAGATGTGTATGCCCCATATTGATGGCACCATTTTGATGTAAATGACATTGAACCATCTTTAAATGACCAATGTACAAGAAAGTCTCTTCTGTTGCATATTTGTGTGTGGGGGAAACGGTGATCTGCCATGACGAAGACCAGTGTCAATCCACATGAAACTGAAGTTTGTTCTTCGGCCCAAAATATATTGAAGCATTGGAAGTATGTACTCAGTCTCCCACTTGAATGACATATTCCAGATCATACATCTGTGGAACTGTTCTAGATAAAATCTTGAGAATTTGTTTCTTTTTAGTATTGCAAACATGCAAATATATATTCTCGGTATATTGTGGTAACCTGAAAGTGGAGAGACTAATGCATGGTCGTGTTGTTGTCCAGAGAAAGTGTCCAAGTTCCAGTTTTGTTTTTAAACATTTATTTTTCTGCAGCTATCTGCTACGTGTGCAGAACCACATGGATCGAGTGTGCAAAAAAATCTTCCTCTAACATGCTTGGATATCTGTAGGATGCTGAGCATCACTTCTACTGGCAATGTTATTCTGTGTTTGAATGGGGGGTTGTCATGTTTATTCAGTCCGTCTTGTATGTAGCGTGGTGTGACAGACACTTCAGAGGATTTTGTAAACTGAGGAGTAGCATCATTCTCTGTGATGTTACTCGTCAGGCAGCCTAATGTTTTAAAACTTTGAAAAGTTTGGGTAAAAACAAAAAAAATGAAGTCGTTGTCTGCAAGAATGCCTGCATTAACCCATTAAAACATTTTCCAGCAGTTTGAAGTGGCTCAAGATTAGTTATTTTAACTGGAGGTTGTTAAACTGACTCAGAGGGAAGGGTTATAATCATCCAAAGTTTCTTTTAATGATCGTTTTAATAGAAGTAGATTTTAGATGAGGTGATTTTCTCTCTCTCCCCTTTGTGGCATTTCATTTCTGGACATAGTTACAAAAACACAACTGAGATGATCAAAAGGGAATGTGTGATAGTTTCATGTTAAATGGAGAAACCCTTTTTCAACACATAAAAGACCATTCCCTCTTTAATGTGAATGTGAGGTGCTAGCTTTAATTAAAGTGGATGCGAGGCCGCTCTTCCCTGCTAGAAGAGACATCTTCATCAGCAGCTTGCTGATCCACGTCCGCCCCTCGGCACCGATCCTTGGAAAAGGCCTGATACCATCTCAGCTGTAGGACGCCTCTTCAACCTTTTATCATCTTACTTCGCTTGCCTCCACTAACTGATGCTTATAAAGGAGATGCCTGCAGTGGTGTGATCAAAACGGAAGAATCACCTGGATTGCTGCAAATAAGCACTGAGTGGTGACACTTGTAGGTAAAAATAAACCTGATCTGTAATTTATTTCTAATAAATATTTTGTGTAGAAGTTGCAGCAATTTCCTGCTCATCTGTGCTTCTGGTTGAAAGTGGAAATACAACTGTTGTAAACAACCCTGCTGTAGCTAGCGCTAACAATGAGCTAGTTAATATGACCCAACTAATACTAAAATAAATCACAAAGTAAAGAGAAATGCACTTTTGGGATACAAAAATTACAAGCCCAGTAGCAACAAAGCCAGGTCACCATCAGTCTATGATTTTATAGGAAGCCTAAGTCACACCCAGCTACTTCTGCACCATGGGTCCCCGGAAGGACGAAAAAATCAATGCGAATCAGTGGAGCTATAGAAGCTATTTTCTAATCCCATTTGTAATGGGCATGAATTTCACATATGTCCATACATTTTAAAGACGCATTCTGATGCCAAGAAAGTGCTTATTTTCAAGCGGGGCTAGAAGTTGTTTTCGGTTTTGTGTGGAAATACGTCCAGGACTACAAATACACATCTCCAAATTGACGTCATCAAACTAGACATGGAGAAGAGCAGGGGGAAAATGGCTGTGAGTTTAGCGAGCTACCAACACCTCCTTCAGGAGGAAAGAACCACCATAAATCTGGCCAGGTAGTAAGTAGCAGCTACGCTAGCACAGAGAGGATTCTGTGGTGATGTCTCATTTGAAGTCAGTCATTACAAATTTTACAGGCTGATAAATCTCAAAGTACATGACTGGCATCATGGTCGAAACACAATTCATTACTTTTCATTTAAACTGACGTACAACAGATGATTCAGGGCCTACAGAAATGCGGATTAAACTTGAATTCATTTTTTTGTTCTTCCGGAGACACTTGAGCCGACCAGAAAGGGAGAAGACTTAGGCTCCCTATAGCCTCCTTTAGCTCCTTCAAACTAGCGTAGGCCGTGCTGATGTTGAATCTGGTTTTAGCTCTTTGCTTCACTTCCAAAGATATTATCTCTTACTTTTAATTCCAGGTTCTGCCACAAAGCCAACGAAAAAGCAAACTTATCTTTCTTCTTGTGCTTTTTAATGACAATCAGTGACCTGAAATAGCTAACTGCTAGCATAACAGCTATCAGCCATGAAGAAGGTAAAATGCCACCCGTGCCACTAAACTGTTCAGTGCAGGCCAGCAGAGTGGTGTCAAATAGGAAACCGGTCTAGTTTCTAAACCAACAATCACTGAGATCAAAGCTCTAGCTTAAAGTTTTTTTTAAAAACTATGTAGTGTTACTTCAATGCTAGAGAAGCCAGGGACATGTTTACATGTTTTTTTTAGGGACTTGGTCGAGTGCAGCATGGGAAGCTGGTGTGACTTGATGCAGAAGGAGTGGGTGCCTCATCCTGATCAGATAAGAGTAATGGAAGCGAATGAAAAGACCCCTGTCCCTGATGGTCACAGCAAAATGGATGTGCTCCCTGAGGTGTACCTGCAGTATCATCCACGCCTGTGGACACAGATTTATTGCCCATTAAAAAGCTACCCTGAAATGTACCTCTTAAAACGGTGTGTTTATCCTGTTGAGAAGTCCTTTCAGAAATGAAACGAGACAACTGCGAGTTTCCTCTGCGCCAGGGCAGACTCCGTGTGACAAACACCACAAGCTCTTTTTATGGAAGGTTTAATGCCATAAAGACCTAAATTGATCCTTACCATCACATTTTAACAAAACAAACTGTTTTTGATCACAAATACCCCCCCCCCCCCCAACAAAAAACCCCCACTCAGTTACGAAGTGTTGTTTCATCCAAATTTACAGTTTAAAGAAGATTACTAAGCAGGAGGTTAAAAAAATATAACAGGACTAATGTGCTATTACAAAATAGCAAAGCAATCTATATTTTCAGGCAATAAATCTGACATTTATGTTATCTCTGACAAAACACCAAAAACTAAGGAAGAATTTGCACAATCATATATATTCTCAGGGAAAACTGAAATTATTTGACATCATTTACTCTGAAGCCATAGTGGAACATGTTCAGTTTTAGAGTTACACATTAGTACACAGCATTTGCACGAAGGAGTGGAACTAAAACATCATAGATCAGCTGATTTATCGTACAGCTCACCTCATGTGAACAAGGTGACAGGATCATTTACAGTTGATGAAAAAATAAAGTAGCATTGACAGAAACAGTGAAAATGTGATGAAAACATCACATACTAAACCTTGTACTCTTAAATCTGCCAGCTTATGCTTGCCGTATCACAGACATTTAAAAAAAATTCCTGCTTCTTATTCATACTGCAGACATATTATTTCCTTATGCCCTTTTTTAAAAATTGTTTCTACCTTCCAGTTTCTCGACTCCTGGAGAATGTATTTCCCAGGCTGATTAAAGCCTATTAAAGACAGGTAATGTCAGGGCTGGTAGCAGGACCATGACAAAGTGCTGATAATTGTCTGCCAGACTCACTAAATCCACCTGTCCTGCAATTATTGCCATCCCCCTTCTCTCTTCCCCTGCTGACACATTAATCCAGTGTACAGCTTGCTTGGCGGGCTGATGCCTCAGAGTGCATCCTGCAAACACAGATGTTGGATTTCAGACTAGTTTAGCACACACACGCCTTAGGATAACTGTAGCACGAATGTGTTTTAGGGAGGAAGCAGGGGAGTATTTACGCTAAAGGTGGACAGGTGGTTAGATGTGTGATAATTTACAATCGTGCTTCCACATTTTGTTAAAATTAGGTTTGTTGGATCAATTTATTTTGTCATGGGCAATTTGGGATTGTTTGAAGCCATGCTTCTGATGTATTCTTACACAAGAAAGATTTTTAAATGGCTATAATTAAATATATAAATAAAATAATGAAATTAAATAATTTAAGCAGCAATCAAGAGTTTTTCAGTAATTATACATATATTTTAGAAATTTGTAAAAGTGATAGTCTTACCTACTGTGATATAAATGTAGACAATACCTCTTTTTTTCTCGCTAAGCCACCTTATGTCCGTAGAGCACCATGCAATTTGAGTTAAGCGCCGATCAGCGTTAGCCAATAGCATTAGACATCCGTTCACATGTAGATGTCAATCACAGAACGTGTGCAAGTATTTGCGGACATACCTAGATGCAGTTGGTAACATTTCTCATGGTAAGAAAATAAAATAAAAGTAAACATGTATATATATATATATATATATATATATATATATATATATATATATATATATATATATGTATATAATGTTATGTTACGTGTTCACAAATGAGAAACATAGCTTTCAGCCTTTTTCTTGAAAGTAGCGAGTGGGGCTTAAGGTGCACCACCACCTTTTCACTGGTAGATTGTGCCATTTGAGAAAAAACTCCAGATTTCCGCTCAAATTATTGAAAGCTTTTTAAAAATAGCTACTTTTTCCTTCTTTTGTGTTCTAAGAAGTATGAGTGAACAGTGGTGGACTAGGTATCGGGAGCACTGGGACAAGTCCTGCTGGCCTGACAGCTGGAGTGACCCGCTCAGTATTGCCTGCAGTCCCCCCTGTCGGTGATGTCCGTTAATCCAACTCTCTTCTCCCTGCTCATAAATTCCCCAATGCACGACCGAAATTCGATCTGCTGACCCCTCAATCAAATGGAAAAATGTTTGCAAGTTACTAGTCTGCTCTGGGTTGGTGCCAAATTCCCGGCCTGAATAATTTTTCTAGTTTACCCCGGGAATAGATTCCAGATCTACTACAGAGAAAATGATTAGACTACATTGGCTAAATATTCAAAAGGCAGCAATGTCCCTCATGAAATAAAATCTGTGGGTATTGCAATAACAAACATGGTGACGTTAGCATCAATTCAGAGCAGTAGGAAGCCAGCAAAGCTGTTCCAGTCAGCCCTGAATTTGCCTGTGGTCTAGCCTTGTAGGAAACATCTGGACAACACAGTAATTACACCAAAGAAGTGTGCTGTTGTGATGAGGAGATACCGATGGTTGGTAGCTACTGGGGCATTCCACACCAGCCCCTAAATTCAAAGTCTCTGGACGCCTCTCTGAAGTTGTGTGTGCAGTATTTACAAAGGTTTCTCCAAATCCCTTCAGCATGTCTGTTTATTTGTGGGGCGGGGGGGACTTGTCAACATATCACAGGTTGTTAGGTAGTTCAGGACGACGAGTTTGGAGGCTGACTTTACATATTTTGAAGATTAAACAAAAGACAGATGCGTGTTTCAACAGCTAGGTCATCCTGTGGAGGAGTAAGGTGTGTCACTGTGGTAGTTGTAGTCAGGACAGACCTTCTGCACCAGTTTGTAGTCTACACTATAAAAGGCTATGTAGATGCATATGACCTTGAAGGGTTTTGAGCACAGCCATGACACGTGGCTCTGTGTGTGCTCCTGATAGCACACCTTGGATGGGTCATAGCCGCACAGGGCGGTCTTCTTGTTGCGGTCCGTCTTTTCGTACTCGATGCGACAGTTGAACGACTTGGTGTCTTTGGTCTCCAGAGTCGACTGCTGGGCGATCTCAAACTCTACGACCTTGGACGGTGGCACCAGGCTCACGGATACGTTCCCCATCCCTGTGGAGTTGTGACGGAAGTAAACACTAAAAGTGCCATTCCCGTGGTCGACGATCTTCCCCGTGATCAGGAGGTTGAGTTTGACGGTCTTGATGTTGGAGTGGAAGTCCCCCCACCCAAACATCTTTTTGAACTTGCCAGTCTTGACGATGGGTCTACGTTTAGTTCTGGTCTGTGCGCCCTGAGCATCTGTCTGGTTAGATAACCAGTCCCAAAAGTCCTCCATATTCTGTAAATATGTCATCTCCCTCGTGTTGCTCTTGAGCTCGGGGGAGACCCTGGCAAATAAACGAATGGGGTTGAGAACCCGTGGACTGGCCCCCGTGGGAGAAAGCTTCTGTTCGTTATCACTGTCGCTCCACTCGATGAGTTCTCTGGCTCCTCCATGAACTTTCCTGCATGTGACCTTTATAGACAGCAGAGACAGGGTAGACAAAGAAACATGATTAATCTTTGAAGCACTGCAGACTTTTATTCTTGATAAACACTCAAAATCAATAACGTCTTTAAACATAGGATCTTGTCAGGAGTCGTGAAGTAATTCAGAGGTTTGCTCAGGAACCCTAAAATCGCAACATTTCTTATACATATTTGAAAGTTTTTATTGCAGTAAATCAATGAAATGTGGCCTTTTGGCATTTTTACTTTGAAACAGTGGCAAACAGTCCAAATTTTGTGCTCCTCAAAAATGTGGGATTGAAGCATGCATGCTTAAACTAATCACTCAAATGTTTGCAGGTCAAGAAAAAGAAGTATTGGGCAAAAGTTTGGATGCAACAAACATTTGTTTGTACTGTAGATCTGCAAATGAGCCTTTGTTTTTCCAGTGTGACAAATCTGCAGTTCCTTTTACTTATGAAGAAGCCTCGGTGAAAATATCTGTTGCAAATGTCTAAATGTGTTTGTGTGTGTGGAGGGGCCGAAGAAAGGGCCACATTTGTGCAGTTTAGTATTAATGGTATTGTCTAGATATCACTCAACATCCAGGGTAAAAGAGGAAAGATTACTGGAACGAGCTGCATCATTTAAAGATGTGGAACAGCGATTTTTCTGATTATTATCGGTCCCTCTGAGTTTTCATGCAGGCTGAACATGAAAATAGTCTCTTACACCTATCTCCTATAGCTTCTGATAGAATAGATGGTGAGACTTCAGGATTTGAAAAGCCTGACACATCTACGTCACACTGTCACTTAACATTCATGAACTCACCCATCTTGACTCAACAGGGAAGGCTGTTGTTGGTTTAGCATCCAGGAAACGTCCCAAATAGCAGAAGCTAACCGTAAGCATTAGCACCTCCACCACACAGCAAAATTCCCTCCGTCTTGTGTTATTTGTGGAGATAATCATCAAACCAAGCAAAGTCAGTGGTAGAGTCATGCTGCTGTTAGCCAATCAAAGGACAGATGCCAAAATATCAGGAAATAAGACTCCAAATTCTGCCCCCCCCCCCCCCCCGTACAACTTACAAGGCATTCGTTCCTACTAGAGACCGCTGAAAATGCATTGATTAAACAAGTGAACCACACCTTTAAATTTTGATTTAAAATGAGGGAACTTTATTTTTTGACTATTGCTGCCCTCCTTTTGGAAAAAAGGATTTCTCATTCTGGAACGCCCCACCTGTTTGAATATCACACTGATCTGGGCATTCAAGACAAAACATAATTCAACTTAACTAAAAAAAGAAAAGAAAAACACAAGTTTAGGTCTGTTATTTTGAGTGCCTTGGACTCCAGGTACGGTTCTATTTTAGTTTGACAGGTCTGACCTCTCCTCTTTAGTTTCACATTACCATTTTTGATTTCTACACCGATGCTCAACAGGAAAACCATTCTCTATGGAAGCGTGGTTAAAAAAATGCTGGTCATAATCCAGACGCGGCTACGAACCGTGATCCCTCGTATCTCAAAGCCGTTTAGCTTCGGGAGCGATTTCTGGTCCACTTCAGATAAAGCTGCAATAATTCACAGCAATGAGCTTAGCTAGTTTTATTAGTAATTAGTACTGCTCGCTCTCCCCAGGCCCTGTTCTAGGGATCACTGAGAGAAGCAGATGTTAAAAGTACAGAGCAGCGGCTGTTTGAATCCTCACTGAGATGCTCCGCGCTATACTCCCAGACTAATTATAATTTTGCTGTAAGCCTAACAGAAACACGTGTGTACAAAGCCAACAAACTAGGTCGTCTGGCACTATTTGCTTTGTCACGGCTTCATACGAACAAACCTTTCCGCCGAACACGTGAAAGTGCTGCATTTATCCAATTATCTGGCACAATGTCTTTTAATTACAACTTCTCGCTGGTGAGGCCACAGCCCCAGACCGTAGTGGCACCTTAAAGCCTAAAGCAGAGGGGAACAGCTCGGCTTTCTGGATATGTGATGCAGAATCAATACGTCTGGCCAATCCATTAGCTCACACGGTGCTTAATTAAGACAGTTGCTCCTTGAAAACACGAACAAATGAAGCAACACTGTAATAACGGTCCCGTGTGTAGTTCATGATGGCCACGGCCGTTCTAATCGACCCGTGCCACTGGCAATATTCCCAGCTGATGATGCTCTTAGTAATACCTCGCGTGAGCTCTGCTGTTAATTCGGCTGGACTCCTACAACATGACAGTCACCGCTGTTGCACAAAACCCGTGAGCTCCCAACGGGAACATTTCCTCACCTCTGTGAACAACGGAGACATGGCGCTCGTCTTCCCACCAGCTCGAGCTGTCTTATCCCTTACACGTCGCGTCATGGCGCGCCGCTTCAGAGGTGAAACTAAATTGTCTTTCGGTGTAAATCTCACGTGAGCTTTGTCTGGAATAATTATAATGGAAATGAGAGAGGAGTTTAAGTATGATGAGCAACGGGGGAAATTGCTGTGACAACAAGCGGATCAGCACAGGGATGTCTAATACTTAAATGCCCCAAGAGAGATGAAGCACGGGGAACTTGAAAGCGTCGCGCTGAAACACGGGCTTTGCTTTCTGCCTCTTTCACCGTCTCCTTGCACACCTTGTGCGTTTAGGTGGAGATGACGGTTACAAAACAGAGGAATATGAGTGTTTGGAGGAAAGAGGGAGCGGGGAAAAAAAACGAGGCAAGGTCTGATGAAGGAGAATCTACAAAAGCTTAATTAAGATTTCCTAATCGGAGCAGCCGTGCTAGAGGCGTTTCAGGGCGACTTGAAACAAGACATTATTATGATAATAACTGCAGACTTATGGAGCTGAAAACTCCAGACTTCATTTCAGCCGCACGAGGCAAAGTTACCCGAGGCGGATATCTGTCTGTGTGGTTTGGCTTCTTCCTTTTCCTGTAGAAAAACACACTCCAACCTCACACACAACAGCTAATCTATATCTCCTCATGCACCACAACAGAGTTCATCTGACTTATAACACAGTGCATAAATACGAATCTAAATGTAGAAAAAAATATGTAAAGTTGCTCCAGCTGATATTCAGCATCAGATAATTAAAATTTTATTTATTATTAGGAAATGCAGCAATTCAAAGTTTTTCCCATTTAAGGAATTGTATGGTTTACTATGTGCTGTGACATAATCTAGGAAATGTGCCATTTTTTTCTTTGCTAAGCCCGTCCCGTATAAACGAAACAAAAAGAATGAATAAACAACATAAAGCGATTATTCATAGTTTAGTCTTCAAAGTGTGCAGAGAAGCCACCATTAATACCACTTTAACATGTTCTTTTGTGTTCTGTTTAAACCCAGAGTCAAAAAATCTGCATCATGTGAAAATTATGAGTTTGTGCCAAAAAACGTCACAGAAAGTTCTAATTAAGTCATCTACTGGCTTTCCCAAGAGTGGTTTGGCAGTCGTCTTTTTTTTTGGCAGGTTTCTGAACAGACTGACAGGTGAATGGAGCTAGCACAGAGGGACAATCCCATTCCACATTCATGTCCAGTTTAGATTCAATAATTACCCCAATATGTCCCTTTTTGGGGGGTAGTCAGTAAAAATCACAATCTTATACTGTAAATCAGCAGCATTTGCACACATTGCAGAATAAAATGTGAAAATTCCTTTCAGACAAAGTGAAAACACAACACATTCTCACTCCCTAAGCATCAAAAACAAACGCTTGGTCAGCCACCCTCCACGTCAGACCCCTGACGCCAAAAGTGCCCTTTTTCGTTACTTATGTGCGAAAAGGGTTTTTTCCCTTATTTGACTGCAGATCCCAATGCAGCGTAAAACTGAAGCCATGGGATGTCCGCTACCGTTGCATCCCAATGCAGCGTTACACTGACGCGATGGGATGTCCGCAGCCAGGGCACCAAACAAGCTCATTGTACCTCACCTTAACCTCTTATTATTTAACCTTCCCCTCACCCCTATCCTAACCTTAACCATCTTGCTAGTGAACACGTTAGTGATGTGTCGATCGCTCTAAAAGCCGGCTCTATGAAGTGAACGGCGGGAGCCGCCTCGTCATTGGTCGAGTTTGGACCGAGCCAACGCGAGGGGGAGGTTTAAACTACCAAGGTGGAGGTTAAAAGTAGAGGGTATGTGTAACCTCCCCCTCGCCAGATGGGATGTTCTAACGTTCCCCTTGGGCGGCAGATACGAAAATTCACAGTCAGACTCTGACTGTCAGAGTCAGAATGCACGGTAAACAAACACTTGATCACAGCGAGAGTAACGTTTTAGGCAGCAAGAGGGTTAAGGTTAGGATGAGGGAGAGGGGAAGGTTATAAATAGTGAAACGTTAAAGTTTAGGTGCGGTTAAACGAGCTGGTTCGGTGCCGCATCAGCGGATATCTAATCACGTCAGTTTTACGCTGCATTGGGATCTGCAGTTACAAAAGGGAAAAACCCCTTTTCGCACATAAGTAACGAAAAAGGGCACTTTTGGCGTCTGGGGTCTGACGTGGAGGGTGGCTGACCAAGCGTTTGTTTCCGACGCTTAGGGTGTGAGAATGTGTTGCAACTGGAAAAAAACACAAGTTACGTGTTTGAGTCTGCATTGACCGAGTTGTGCAGCTTTCATCTTACTTCACAAGCAGTCATTACTCTCTTTGTTACATTATTGCACGTATTTTTACTCACGAGTCAATGTGTAATATTCCCACAAAAGGACTTATTTTTCTTTGAAGGTCTTGAAGAAAACGGTTTAATGTTTCTCAAACCCCAACTTCAGGCTTTGAAGTCAATATTAAAATATTCGGGCTACAGGTTTCACCTTTAAATGTTTGCTGCTCTTTCTGCACCGTTTGGGCCGTTTATCCAGCCAAATACCTACATTGGAATTATTTTTGACAAATGTTCTTTGCGGTATTTTGACAGTCAGACTTATTTAGAGATTTTGGGGAAAAACAGTGACCGGAGCGGGAGCGAGTCACGCGGTGAGTCAGGATGAATCAGCCTCGACATCCGTCTGTAGT